TGTTTTTAGAAATATATAAAAAACCGTTCTCTTTTCAATGCCGTTCTCCGATAAATCAAAAAATTTCAAAAATAATTTTCCGTTCTCCATTCTATGATAATTCCGTTCTCTTTTCATATTTTATCCACTGTAACTATATCATGATCTCAAAAGAAAAAGAAAAAACAAAACATAGAACTATGTGAATAGAACTATGTACAAAACATGCGCTGGACTAGTGCGCTAAGTGTATAACTCTATACTTAACAAAATGGTTTTTTTAAGGTGCTAGTCTTAATCACAGAGAAAAACTACATCAGATATGTGAATATGAGATTGATCTGAGAGGGGGCCGATTTTGCCTCTTATCGATCCCCGTCCTTTCAACGAGTTTTATTCGAAAACGCGTTCATCACAAAACATTAGTTTTTAGCGTTATTGAATTTATCTGGTTAAACTAGTTATTTATAAAAAAGTCAATTTTATATTTGTTTAACTATTGATTATAATCTATTGAGATATTTCATTTTTCAGTTTCAGTGTAAGAGTATGTAGAAAAGGACAATGGAAAAGAGAAAATTTATTCAGTTTAAAAATTTTAGACTTTAGTTTCAACCAGATATTTTTAGAACAAAATGGAAATGAGCATCATCTTCTTGGATATTGATGGAGTATTATGTTTAGGTAGAGAAATTGATAAAAAATATTTACAAAATTTGAAGGCTATAGTAGACGTGACATCGGCTAGAATCGTTTTATCTTCTTCTTGGAGGTAATTGACAAGTTTTCTTTATGCTAGTTCTCTATCTAGAATTTAATATTTAGATTTTTTCCAAAATCAAGAGCAAAAGTCGAATCATCATTTGCAGAAGTTGGAATCGATTCGTTATTAGCATGGACTGGTTCTCGAGGTAAATCAAGAGTAGATGAAATCTATTATTGGATGAAAGATTTTGATAATAAAACAATTCAAGAAGAGATTATAATTAAGAAATGGATTGCTATTGACGATATGGATTTACTCACACTAGATAAAAAACGAATGCAAGATCATTTTGTATTGTTCTACATTTGTGCATGGAATCACAGAAGAAACAGTGAAAGAAGCGATTCGATTACTGAAGGAACACGAATAGTGTTGGATACAAGAAAGAGACTAAAAATATCATCGATCACCTTGTATTCGGTTGTATACAAATGATTTATACAAATGATGGATATTAGGGAGTTCTACTACCAAGAATAATTTGAGCTTGATTGAACAAGCGGATCAAAAGTTATAGTCAAAATAGAGGCCTTTACGGAATTCCAAAAATGGAAGTATTTTTTGGCGTATTTCAGTAAAATGTAAATTACTCAGCCTTAGATTAATTTTAAAATGATTTATTCATTACCAAACTGAAGCTCACAGTTTGGGCTATTAGAATCACTCTTGACTTTTTCTTGAATTAGTTCCCTGGCAGAGGAAATCGACTAAAAGTGATCGTTACGGAATTTCACCGTTTTTTACTCTTCTTTGGTTTGGTATATATTTTTTCAGTCACAGAACTACTTAGTAAGCTCTGATTTGCACTTAGATGGATAGTCTGAGGTGCCCTTCATCCCATGCAGCCAAAACTAAAGTTTCAAAGTTAGATTAAATGGGCATAAAATTGCTCACAAAATAAGCGCCAAAACCCCTTTTAGAAAAAAAACAAAAATTTAGCACCTAAACGTCAAAGCAAACGAGCCCTTTGGTAGAGGATTTGATTCTCTATCCGACGGTATAGTTTTCAGAATTTTTGGACAAAACATCTAGGTCAGAGAATTAAATTTAAATATAAATTTTCGCCACGAATATTTGAGTTTCAGTTGTTTCTGGGTCCAGATTTGGAATCACCGTGAAAAACTGCGTCTAATGGTGTATTTTTAAGCTTTGCTCAAGTTATAACAAAACTTCGAACCTTCTCATCCGATTGTGAACGGTTAGCTTGCCATGCCATATACTAGCCTGATCTCATGAAGATTATGTAAATCAAAGAGCCCACTGCAATACGCCGATCGATGAAGCATTAATCGACTAAACTATTATCGGCGTCAAAATAAAAGGCGTGTGGTTTTTCAGAGGACCTTTGGAAAACTAACTTGACTTTTCCGAAATTTACATAGGAATGTATTGATTTTTTCCCTGGGCTGATAGCCCTAGGTGTTCTCATCAAGATGGAAGTAGCGTGATTTTCTGCGGTTCGGCCGTTGTATCGGATTTCTGACGAGTCCCTGGACTGACACCCGGTGACTCTCAGTAGCCTTAAAGACGGATGGATTATGGATTATCGACCATGCTGAGTCTTGTGGCAACATTTGCTTTTAAAAAAAGGTTTAAAAATCTCCCGAAAAGCCAGTTTTGCGAAAGTTAGGGTTTTCAGATTGTTTTCACCTAATATTAAAAAATTCACTATTCGCTCAAAAAACACCAAACACATCGAAAACATCGAAACATCAGGATATGATCAACGCTGTCCGCTAAGCATGATTATACGACCGAAAAAATCGAAAAATACATTTCTGTTAATAAGTGTTTCCAGAAACCCTTTTGGAAAACTTTAGGGTTTTTTCAAATTTATTTCCAGATCTTCTATAAACTGGATATAGAATAATTTAAATACTCTACATTCTGAAGTTTTGAACTTGTTCTGATGTTTTTTGAGTGAATAGTGAATTTTTTAATATGAGATGAAACCAGCCCGAAAACCCTAATTTTCGTGGGTGACGGAGTTATTCGAGAAACGAGCACACGCCTTTTATTTCGGCGCCGATAATAGAATGACGAAAGGGTTAAGGAAGAGTTTGAGCAAAGAGTGTTTACTTAGACTAATTGAGTTTAGCATAGGGAGCATAAGTTCACACGTCAATTGATAGGGGATATCAAGCTAGTAAAAAGCCTAAAAGGATTTTTCCCTATGACTCTTGAAGACCCGATTTTCTGGAAAACTAGTTTTTCAGAAACTCCAAAAGGTAACCAAAACATTTCTTAATGAAGCGTGATTGTAACCCGCATATTAACATAGTGATAAATATGTTCAATAGAATCAAAATATGTAATGATTGCAAATACCATAAAACGGATCTATCCCTCCTTGAACAACTGTTAGAAAATAGTAGTTTTCTGAAAAGAATAGTTGATAAACTGCGATCACAATTAGCTAAATTCAATATTAGAATATACACAACGCTCTATCGTAATATTGGTTCAGTGTTAAATAAAGCAAGAAAAATTGCGCAGAATGTAGTACTCTCAAAAAACAAAAAGGGTACAGACAGAATTTAAAAAGTTACAAGAAAAGAGAGCCATTACTATAATTTGACATTCGACGAGCACACTAGAATCTTCAAATATAACCCATCTGATGAATTTTAGTCGCTGATCACGAATACTCTGAAAAAAAAAGGTACGATACGGAACTCAAAAAGGTTTCGTGCAAGCTACGAAACTCAAAAAAAATTGTTTCGTGCACACTACAGAACTTAAAAAGGGTTTCGAGAATTGAAACCATTTCGAAACCATTACGAAATCTTAAAAAAATTTCCTGGATCCTTGATAAATCTTTTTAAGGGTTTCTTACATTTCTGTGAAACCTTTAAAATAGTTTCGAAATGGTTTCAATTCTCGTAACCTTTTTTTTCAGAGTACTGTCTTAGATTTGAAGAAGGAGTATGGCTGGACCAAAAATATGAAATTTTATGAAATTAAAAGAGAAAAATGGATCTAAAAATTGATTAGTAGTTTTCAATGCAAGGAAATTCTGGTTATAAACAACGATAAAAATAAACTGTCATTTTATAAAGTTCGGCTATTAAATTATAAATTTTATTCATATCAGCTGTATTTTGAATTAAATTATTAATTACATCTCTCATATAGGCAATTGGTGATAATGAATCAAATCATTTTTTCACTGTATATAGATAAAATATTTTTATTAAATAGATTGTTGAAAAATGGGAGTAGAATATTCATTATTTGAAATATTTTTAATACAATGATCAACAATTTTTTTAAAACAACAAAATTGCTTCAATATAATCTTCGTTTAACTCATGTACTCTTCGAATACCATGAAGATATTTAACGTTTGTAGATAATTCTATTTTCATTTTACATTAAAGAATTTCTTCAATATACATCAATGGTTTATCAAAACAACCATGATCCGTACAACTATAACCTAATTCAATATAAGCCTGTAAAATATAAACTTTATTATTTTTCGTTCAAGAAATTAGTCAAATTTTTATCAGCAAGAAATTTTCGTTGTTTAGCAATTATTTCATTCATATTATCATTTTCCGAATCATTCCTAATATATTTACAAACATGTCAATTTTATGAATAGAAAAATTAATTCATAGTAGTTAGACAGATGTTTTTGAAAAGTATTCATTGCTAAAGTTGAATATTCAATAACTTTGTAAATAATCACAATATTTAGTAAGGGTCTATGATAATAATAAAAATATTTATCGTATTGTTACAAATGAATTTGTTTTTGTTCTAAAACTATGCATTTTCCAAAAATAATCTTCTTTTTCAATAAATCTATAATAAATTTTATACCCATTAGCTGCTTTATACGGTGCAGCTAATTCAAAATTGCAGTAAAAAGTTTTTCTGACTTTATTATACATATTCTGATTCGCTGCATTCAGCTGATCTCAAATTTCACCATCGCAGCTCTTAAAAGCTCTTTCTTCATGGAGAAAATGTGAAAAACTGTGCGACCTAAAAGCCTCAAAAATCGCCCCTCATCATAAAAGTGACTTTTTTAGAGTTGTATTGCCAGCTAGAAAATTTTAACTATATTTTTCTGATTCAGCGTCAAAAACTGATTTAGAAAAAAGCTGCCTAGATCATCCCAGAGGTAAACACCCGTCCGACATAAACGGAATGACCCATTTTGTAACTGTATCTAGTTTTTCGTGTTATGAGCGAGTCATACGCAAAAAGAATCGCCCTGAAACAAGCTTTAAAAGTACGTGTGCCATAAAAATTGTGACTTATGTCTAGAAAACTAAAAAAGATGGTTAATAAAAAATCTCTAATTCAGTTTTTAGTTTTTTGGACATTTCTCTTGACCGAGAAGTCCCAGAAGGCTCGAAAACGCCTTACTTTGTTCAGAATTCAATTCTCTGTCTGTTCTAGATCATTTTCAAAAAGTGTGGCTGTTGAGAAGGTTTTCCGGAGATCGGGTCTATGGAAAATTTTAAAAATGTTTCCATTGAATAAGCGATCGTTTTTAGCCTATTTGACGCCATTTCCATTAAATTTGGACGAAAAAATCGAGACTTATCGAAATTGACCTGACCGTTTTTCGCTTCGTTCCAAAGAAAGTCGTTTTTCTCCGCATGGAAGATGAATTTCAGAAATCGGCACTCGTACTTTTAAAGCTTGTGTCAGGGCTATTCTTTTTGCGTATGACTCGTTCATAACACGAAAAACTAGATACAGTTACAAAATGGATCACTCCGTTTATGTCGGATGGGTGTTTACCTCTGGGATGATCTAGGCAGCTTTTTTCTAAATCAGTTTTTGACGCTGAATCAGAAAAATATAGTTAAAATTTTCTAGCTGGCAATACAACTTTAAAAAAGTCACTTTTATGATGGGGGGTGGTTTTTGAGGCTTTTAGGTTCTCACAATTTTTCACATTTTATCCATGAAGAAAGAGCTTTTAGGAGCTGCGATGGCGAAATTTGAGATCAGCTGGATGCAGCGAATCAGAATATGTATAATAAAGTCAGAAAAACTTTTTACTGCAATTTTGAATTAGTTGCACCTTACTAGGTATGCACCAATCCAATAGTTCGGTAACCGAACGGAATCCATTGCTCAAAACAATGAGTTACCATAGGCGTATGACATGAAAATGCTATCTCAAGATCGGTCGAGCAGACTTTGATAAATCGCAGTATTGACGGGTTTTGCACGATGCTCTTTCCGATCGCTAACTCGAAATACGTTTAAAAGTACCGGAAACAGATTTTCCGGAAAACCACGGTTTTTTACGGATCTATTTATAGAAAATAATTTGTTTTGAAGAAATATTTGGATTAACCGACATTTGAGCTCCGACATTTGAGCGACCCCGAAATTTGAGCGACCAACACTTCGACCACTAATACAACGTTTACCAGAATTGTGGGAAAAGAAGAGAAAAATAAAGG